ATAGAGAACGTATGAGAAGCCTGGCTGGGAGCGAGTCACGGTGAGTGCATTGCTCACTTACAGAAAAGAGCAGAGACACCTAGTTTGCATCGTGCACTCTCAGGTCCTGGCAAGGAAAAACTGCTGATAAGAGAGAGAAGAGCTAGGGATATGCAGAAGTGGGACTAGTCATTTGGCCCATGTCGCTTCCATAAGCTGCAGGGAAAAGCAATTTGAGCTCAGAGAAAGAGCTGGTTGCATAGACCCTGCCAGGTGACATTTTGCTCTCCCAAGCTTCTGGCACTGAAAGATATTCATATATTTACAACCTTTCTTAAGGTCATCTCTGCTGTGTCTCCAGCTGAGCCATTAAATATTAATTGGACCTCCTTTCCAAAAATAAAAAGCAGAACCTTTAATTTACTTGTGTAATTAACACCTCCCACAAACCAGGTGTCCTCCTGAACCAGACAAAACCAGCCATTTGCACTTCACAATCCTGAAATAAACTGTGCTCTTTTGAGACTCACAGTTGCTTGTTCATTCTGCATGCACAACTATATGTCATTATTTTTTGGGAAAAAAGCCTTAAATACAACAGAAAATATGCCCTCCAGGTGATGTAGCCAAACCTTCCCACTCACACAGGATAGTTAATTTCAGTTTGTATTTGTGTTTTTTAAAGCACCTTACCTAAATGAGTTTGAACATCTTCTCACAAGTTATTTTATCCAACAAGTCTCAGTGCTGCTACCTGCCTCAAAGCTCAAATTTTAGCCCGTAATTGTAAAGAGCATAATCACTCTCTGGTTCTGTAAGAGCACTTGCATCAAAGGACTTCAGTTCCCACATGCCTAACCATGTAATAAGCCTGACATGGCAATTAGCTCTGAAATTTCATTACAACCATTATTCATATTAAGACAAGGATTAATGTGTATTCAGTAATCACGGAACTGCACAGATTATTTGCAAAAGTTTGCTAGGTGCTGATTTACTCAGATGAATAACGTGTCTGTGCTTCTGTGAGGCTACGGATTTTACGGAGTTAAAAAAGTACAGGACCCAAGGTCCTCATTGCTCAGCTGCCATCAAAGCTTAGAGACACATAAGCTTTCAGTATCACACAACTCAAGAAAACTAGATTTGGTTTTACACTTGGACTGCAGTACGACTATCTTGTCAAGACTTGGCAGGCTGGGATCCAGCTCATACCTAAATCTTTTGGGAATCTGTAATCTCTAAGCACAACTTCACCTTTATTGCCTTAGAAACTCAGTCTGACTGTCAGTCTCAGGGTTTACTTGTAATGTAAGTGCTAGGAAAAAAAGAAAAAAAAAAAAAGAAAAGAAAGTTTCTATTTGATTTGGAAAAGGAAACTCTTTGTGATAAGTAAACATCACATCACTCACCTAGAAAACAGGGCACGCAGACTCACTTCCTTCCTCTGAAGAGGCAAATTCAAAACTCCATCCTGGATGGCTCCAGAAAACATCCAAATCATCAGTTGAATGTCTCCTCAGTTGCATGGACTAATTCAAAGTTTGTTGTGCTACAGAAATTATACTCTAACCACCATTAGGATCAACATGTCACACAAGAAAGGTGTGGTCCTAAACTCCAGCCTCTGCAGCCAAATTACAAATTTGGAGAAGGGGAGAGTTCTTTTTGGTGATTCAGATTGCAACCAGGAACTGAAGAAATCAGAGCCCAGGAGCATTCTGGGCTCTGTTGCTAAAAAATTGATGCTTCTCTCACACATTCTTTAAACAACTCACCATCATTTTTCCTAAGCAGCCACAGGTGGGTGACAGGTCCTTCTGCTAGAGAAGCAAACAGGCAGTCCCTGCTGACCCCCAGGCACTCCCACTGCCTCAACACACCTGACAGATATTTTCCAGTCTCTTGTCTCCTAGCAAAAGCCACTCCAGGCCATTGGGTAGGAAACCCAGATGAAGTTTCCTGGAGCACTAACTTGGCAAGAGTGTCAATGGCAAGATGTCATTTTGTATATCAAGCTTCAGCTTTGTTGGGAATCACCTGATCCAAGCCAAAACCTACTCTCAGGACTGCATATCCAATGTTTGTTTTAACTAAAATGTCAGTAAGGGTGAATCCACAACCTAGATACATGTAAGATATGTGTTTATATATTTATATATACACACATATAAGATATATATATGCATATAAGCGATATGTTCTCATCTCCAGTATAGCACTAAATCCTTTGATTCTTTTTGCAGTATCCCAAAAAATGGGTTCAGAGTGTGGTTTCCCCCTACCTCCTTCCATTCCTGAATAACACAGAGCATGGTGAATGAAGCACCAAGCTAAGAGGTTTTTGTCTGCATCAGGAAATGGGGAGGAAGAAACTGAGACCTCTGAGTGCTTCCTGCTGGGTTAGGGGAGTACACCAAGCCCTAAATAAAGCACTTAATTGCAAATCAAGACAGAAAAGACTAAAGCTCTCCTCACTCTTCCTCAGTTTCTGGTGTCTTTACATTTGGAGCATCCTGTAGACCTTAGCTTCTTAATTCCCCATGGAAATTAAATCTAAAAGATGTTCTGGAACAATCAGCTCAGGCTCCATTTTGTGGAGTTTTTTTTTCCTTTTTCTTTTTTCCCCTTTTAAAAATCTATACCTATGCACCTCTGGAAAAGTGATATTATAAAGTGTGTGTATGTCAAAATCCTCAGCTGGCATGAATAAGCTTCATCAATTAACTAAATAGCAGATATAGAAGTCTAACTGTGTCCTGTTTTATACCTTTAAAATGTGGCTTACAGTTTGAAAACTGAAAAAGTTTATTGCTGTAATAGCTTTAAAGTTGATTACTTCTTTTCCCCACTACTATTTTCTTGATTCTAAGATAGAAAAAAGCAAAGTAAATATTAATTACATTTGTATGTCTTGGAGGCAACAATTTCATACACTTAACTGTAAGTAACATATTCCTTGCTTAAGGTGGGCACCATTTTGTTTAGGAATCCAAGGTAAGCTAACAATTGGAGGTATCACTAAACCCATGTTTATTCACAGAAAAATGCTGCAGTTTATCAAAACCTTTTGGCACACAACTGGCTAAAAAAAATAACTGAAAATGTAACAACTGTCCCAGCCCCCCACAGAGATATCTGGTCCTTATGTTACAGCTGAAATGAAAGGCTGAAGCATTGTAGTGGTATGGCAGAGGGAGGACACATGTGGAGGCACAAAGGGAGATAGTAAAACTGGAAAGATTCCACAGACAACTTTTTTTTTTTTTTTTTTTTTTTTTTTCTGAAATACTGTATTTACACAAAATTGGAGAGAGTACAAATACTTTACTAAGAAGACAAAACCATTATCGTACATTCAGTTTAAACACAGGCAGAACTATAGATGCAAAACAGAGAGGCCCAAGGTACTTGCATGGGAAATAATAAAAAGGAAAGCATCAGAAAGGCCTCAGAGATTAAAAGCAGAAAACAAGCAAACACTGCATTTGTTAGGCAGCATCACCTCTCCTTGACTTCACTGAGACTTCAAGAAGGTGCTCTCCTTCTTCACTGTAGATAGTGGGAAACACTCTCTTGATGTGCTGACTGCTCAATACTGATTCTACAACATGGTGAAGTGTGTACTCAATTTTCAGCATGAGACCAGAGCTGTTAACTTCAAAGTATTTGGGCCTAATCACATGCTTATATGCTTAGTTTGACCAGGAATAGCCTCCTTAATGGTTAATAGGGTCAAATCTGCTATTACATAAAAAATAATGTTCTTCACTGTCTTTTTTTTTTTTCTTAAAATATATTT